CACTTAAGACAAAATTACTTGATTGATTAATTAATCCCTATACATAACTGTTTAGATTTAACTTATACCTTCACAGTTAAAAAGAAAAAATTTTCTTAAATGCAATTAATGGGGAGAGAACTGTGAACATTAACTTTTAAATAGAAATATATTTAATTGTATCCTGAAGTAACAAGTTTACTTTTGTATGACTTAAAATTATTATCTCAACTAAAAAAAAACTGTGAATAAAAATAAGAAATAAGATAAAAGTAATGATCTCATTATGAAATAAAGATTAATGTCATAAGAATTCAAAACTATATCTGCCTCCAATCTTTAAATCATAATACAAATATTGACAAAATTATTGTGACATCATCACAATGCTGGGTTGCAATTTTTAATCATATTTTTAATTTATATAATTTAAAATACAGTGGAACCTCGGTATACGACCTTAATCCGTTCCTGGTGTTTGGACTTATACCGAATAGGACATATACCAAACCAACCTTTCCCATAAGAAGTAATGTAAAAATGATTAATCCATTCTCATGTAAAAAAAATGGCTGGCTTTAAACACCTCGCTTTCCTTACTAGTTTCTGCTTGATTTTTCATGAGATCAGTATGTATCCTTTTAACTTTCTCACAAATAATTTCTTCTGATATGCTGTCGCCGGCACACTGTTTTTCAGTTATCCAAAGCAACAGCAATTTCTCGACATGATCTAACGTCTTCGATCTCTGTTTAGAAACTGATTTAACCCCTTTCGCAACGTTAGCAAATTTAACAATGTCTTTATTTTTCACGAATGTCGATATCGTTCTCGGAATACGGAATGCAACAGTTAAATCTCGAACACGCGTGCCACCTTCATATTTGTCAACAATCTCTTTTTTCAGTTCCGTTGTGATTATAGTCACTTTTTATTTTTTATTTGCTCTTTTGCAATTCATGATTAATAAAAATAATAAAATGTTACTTACAAATTAAAATCAGAAGAAATTTAACAAAGGTATAAACCATAGCACCGCGAATGGCTAGTCTGGTGTAGTACACCGATAGTGCTACTTGTTCATAGATGGCGCTTATAATTGAATTAAGTCGTATACCGAAGAAAAGTCGTATAACGAGCAAAATTTTTTTCGTCCAAACAGGACTTATTCCGAATTGGACGTATTCTAAAGCAGACGTATACCGAGGTTCCACTGTATATGCTATTGATTTTAGTAGTGTCTTGACCCTGTACATCATACTTTTCCTGATAACAATAGTCATAGCAGCCATTCAGGAGAAAATTTTTGAATTGAAATAACATGACTTCCAGTTCAGACCAGAAGTTCATTTATACTTAACTGGGATCTCCAAAGCTTTCCATACTTGGTTTTAACTTTTATCTAACTCCATTCTTAGATTAAGGAAGGATAGACAGACAGATGGATGTCAGTAAAAATTTATAGATCTGCAATTTTTAAATTGCAGCCCAATTAATATATAACATTTCATTGTTAATGACTAGATACCAAATTAATTAATTAAAATTGAAGACAGTCTGTTGACACACACATCCTTTTATTCACTTTCAAGTTCTGGAATACTTCCGACTCAACTTTTCCAAAATATTCCATTAAAACATAAAAAATATATATATGAGGTTAAAAATAAAAAAACCTTTTTAAATGTGGAGCAGAAATAAAACAGATGTCTTCTTACTTTTCCATCCATACAGCATTGGGACCACACTATTGCTTGAACAATCCATTGTGAGAACTGTTTCAATGTCTTCAGTTTTAATTAATTAATAAATAATTTAAAATAATATTTTTATATCATTTTGAATCTGATAACAATTATACAAAAACTAAATATGTATGTTATAACTGCTTTACTGTTATATAATTATAATTGTTAAAAGTTAGTGTAAAAACTTCCATATACAATTTTTGTTTCTTTTGCAACTTTGTGCATATTTTTCACAAAAGTAATAGAATGGAGTATAAAATATTCTATACAACTTCTTTTTATGAAATACACAATGCATTTGGTTTAAATAATATCAAAAAAATTAATTACAGATCAAGATTTATTTTGTAATTTATATATGCAGAAATCATAATACAAACATGTCAATAAATCATAATAGATAGTTTTGCATGGTAATTTAATCAAGTATTTTCTGATTAATCAGAGTATTTTAGTAAAATTTTAACAATATAAAACTTTTTGAAATAACTACTGTACTTATCTTTCAAGAAATAAACGCTTTAGTAATAATCTAAACCTATTATTCTGTTGTTATAATTTCTTAACATTTAAATTTAAATCTGCTTACCCAAAGTTTAAATATTAAGTACTAGTAGTAGTTTACACTAAAACTACTTTTCTTCTGATGATAAAAATTAATCCTTGATGTGTGCTTAATGGAAAATTAGACCTACAACTTAACATTTATTTAATGAAAACTCTCGTTTTCTTTGAACTAGATACACGATACAGAAAAGTAAACATTATAATAGCATAACAATTATTGTTATATTATTATGGCTTTTAACCTTCAAATTTAATAAAAATAAAAATTTTGATAAAGATCTTTTATGTAAATGTATTTTTTAAGCAGTACATATTATAAAGAATAATTTACAACAGATTTTCATTATTGACTGATTATATTGAGGTAATTGTTGCAAGAAATAAAACCTAGCAAACTTTTGGTGTATTAGTTTCATTAGTAAAGAAATAAAATTATTAAATGCTTTTATCTTTACAAATTATATTTTATTTTTAAATAATGTTTGTACAGGTGCAGCAGCTTTTGTGTAATCAACTGTAAAAACAATATTTGACTAAAAAAAACTATTGTTTATCAGACAGACATAAATAGAAATTTTATAATTTTTAATTAGTATTTTATAACATTCAACATATTAATAATTATTCATCTTAATATTATATCACAAACAGATGAAAAAATCATACAAATAATACTTAAATTATAATATAGATATACTTTATGCTATTTTCAATAGACATACTGTGTAGCAAAAGAGTTTATATTCAACATTCAATCATCTGCATCTATCATATTCATATCTTTTCATTGTGTTTTCAAATTAAAAATAATAAGTTATTAAGATTTACATTTATCAAATAACCAGGATACTTAAAATTTCTGAAAAACCCTCATAATCTAAATATATAAAACTAATTGTCCTGACTGAATGACTGATTTATCATTGCCCAGAGCAAACCGCAGAACCTAGAGGTGAAATTTGGTACAAAGTTAGGGTACGTCATGAAAATGCACACTAAGAAGGGATTTTTCAAAATTCCCCCGCAGGGGGAGAGGGAGAGGATTAAGACTTAACCGAAAAACGGCTTCTACTGTACTATTTTAGATGCAATTTTTTGTTTTTAACTACATTTAGTCTTCATTGAGTACTTAGGTGTATTAAATTGATAACATTCCAGACATTGTTATAAATATTTTTATACACTTCAATTTTTTAACCAAATGTTCGAACTGTTTTAAATTCAAATTTGTTATTGCATATTGGTTCGATTATAGAACGATTGTAAACATTCCAGAAAATTGATCAAATTGAAAACAGCTTTCATTTGATTCTCAGCAATTCTCATCATTCTCAGCCATAGGTGTTATATAACAATTATTATACAATTAATATTATGGTTGTTGAAATATTGCATATAAATAAACGATATTTGCTTGCAAAATCCATGTGGGAGAAGTCACAGGTAACAGCTAGTTTCATATATATATATAAATTTTTTACAATATACAGTTGACAATATCTCTGTTCACAATATACAGTATAGGGTGTATATTGTAAATCACAAATGAAACACTGCATAAAAGAATTTATTATTGAAANTCGTTTGATTCTTGGCAATTCTCATCATTCTCAGTGGTAGGTGTTATATAACAATTACTATGGTTGTTGAAATACTGAATATAAATGGGGTTTGCTTGCAAAATCCATGCAAGTGAAGTTGCAGATAACAGCTAGTATGTAATATTTTGAAACATTATACATTCAGAAAATTCTAGTTATTTGCTACAGAATAATAAATAGACATAACAAAAACTTGAAAGTGGTTAAAGGGAGTTAAGATATTTATTTATCTTAACTCCTTTAACTAGTTTTGAGTTTTTAACTTTGATTTTAGGTTTAACCCTTTAAACATGAAACTGGCCAAAATCAGCTTAATCCCATGGTTCTCAATCTGTGGTCCGCAGAACATGGGTGCTCCGTGAAGCCACTTCAAGTGTTCTGTGAAAATATCAAATATACAATTAAAAATTGTTGCAAAAGAAAAATCAATACAATGTCAAATAATTTTTGTATGGAAATGTAATCATCAAATGCCAATAACGTCATACACTAGACCGAGTGCACTCTTTATTTCAAAAAGGTTTGCCACCCCTCCTTTAAAGCTGATGTATTTTAAGTGTTCTGCAGAAAAAAATATCAAAGTTTAGTGTTCCCAACTTCAAAAAGATTGAGAACCATGAGCTTAATTTGTTAGAGATAAAATCAGCCGTTGGAAAAGTTGTTTGACTGGTTTTTCTATACAAGTTCCCCTTGTAGACTGAGGGACTTGTATAGAAAAACTGAATTTACTCTCCAGATACATAGAAAGAAAAAATTTTCAGAGCTTAAAGAGTTAATCATTTTTCAGGATTTTTAAGCCACCTTCTTAACCACAGTATTCTATATTCTGACAAATAGTAAACAAAATTACAGTATAATTAGTTGTAACTTGTCAAAAATGATGGAGGAAGAAACAAAACCTATCAATTTTAAGCTGGATCATAGCCAGTTGCAAACATTTAGACATTGAGGCTTGATTGTAAGAAACAGCAACTAACCTGGTTCTGTATATTTTTTAAAATACAGTAGAGCATCAATTATCCAAATAAATTGGGAACCGTGGTTGTTTGGAAAATTGATTTTTCGGATAACCGATAATGTACAAAAGATATATTAACCTATCCCATATTGAAATTCATTCAAATCCTGGCACATTCTTAAGTACCCTCTCATGGTCATGCCAGTACTGCTAGCTAAAACACGCGCACCAACAAAAATAATATTGGAGTAGCCCAAGACATAGCCAAAGATTGCAGTGCCACAGCACTAGCCAAAATTTAAATTTGCCGACTGGAAAGCTTTCGGTTAATTAACATTTCGGTTTATCAATATTCGGATAATTGATGCTCTACTGTATATAGATCCAGCTTAATTTAAACATATTTAAGCAAATAACAAAACTGACTTTTTCACTAAAATCAGTATATCGTTTTTATTTATCTAAGAAAAAAGTCAGTATTTTTGGGAGATGCTGAGAATTTAAGGTCCTTCTCACTTCAAATCAACAAATCTGTCACTAGCTTCAGAAGTAAATTATTTTCTTAAATGTAAAAATTAAAACTCAAAAATGATTATAAGTTTAATGATTAATCATTTAACCATTAAAATTTAACAGGTTATGCTAAAAAAAATTTAAATTTGAATGAGGTTGCACATTCCATCAATGCTATAGAGTTATAGACACGAAGCCAAATATAGGATATTATATTTTTAGATTCTAAATGTAGAATTATAGATTTTTATGAATGCATAATTACTTAATTTACAGTAAATTTCATTTTTATAAAATGTATTTTGTGAATGTTAATTACAAAAATAACATATATTTTTATGTTATAAATATATGTGTGTCATATGTTTTAAAATTTCAGGTAAATCTACTTTTTCCTTTCAATCTTACTTCAACTGGCCAATGATCTGAAACATCTCTGGCCTAAAACAAAGATTTTATAACATTATTACAATTAATTTTTTTTATGTTAATAAATACAGGAATTTACTTACCTCCTCTAAAGTTAATTTATATGCATTCTGAAAATTGAATATTCCAGCTGAATTAGGTATTATTGCACTTTCAATTTTCTCGCCGGCAATTACAATTCTTGTAAAACATATAAATTAAATTATTGTAAATGTCATATAATTAATGAAAAATTTAAAAGATAATCACCTATCATAAGGACAAGTATTGGCATTTGTTGTAGTATCAACATTTTGACCTATTAACCAGATAAAGTCTCTTCTAGTTCTTAGTCGAATATTTTTCCAGTCACGCACTCGTACTGAAGAACACCCTGCATTCATATCTCCCATAATCATTGCATCCTACAACATTATAAATATATTTATTACAACTATAAAGACGTATTTTTATACAAAATTTTTGGATTTTTAATCCGTAAACTTGTTTTTACTTACTTTTATTTTATACTTATTCTTTGCAAAATCATAGACATCTGTTAAATAATCTGTTTCATTTGCTGCATTACTTGGTTGTGTGTGAATGCCAATTGCAATAAAAGATGGCATGTTTTCTATTAAATATAATGTTCAGTTTGCAAATATATACAAGCTATTCAAATAACAATAAATAAAATTAAGAAAAATAAAAGAACCAACCAACTGTTGGAGTTTGAAAATGCACTATATAAGGAGGTCTCATAAATTTATCTTCCAAATCAGGATATACCATTTTATCTAATACTGAAACAGCATCTCTCCTAAACAAATCGTGATAAAATTAAATAAACTAATAAAAGAAAAATTCCAGTTATAAAAATTTTTAACAAAAATCCTTTGCAGGAATTAATAGATTTAAATAACTTAAAACAAGCAAGTTATTTTCAAACACTTTTAAGTAAAAACTCATCATCAGGAAGATGATGTCTACAATTAAATACAGTTGCTTAAAATCAGATCTAAGAAATCCATTGCTTAAAATATTTTAAAGCAAATACACATGTACAGTACCAGTATATCTGAACATGTGGATGAAAAATGTGTATACTTGAATGTGTGGATGACAATAGCTTTGTCATCCACACATTCAAGTATACAGGACAGGTATACGTCCAGAAACCTTAATATTAGCTATTCAACTATACTGAATACTCTGGATTCTATACATGTTTACCTGGCTTTAAGTTTTAATATCTTGCTAGCAAAGAACCAGATTGTACTTGTTTATAAGTTATTAATTTATAAGTTGTTTATAAATCTTCAATTTGAAGATTGAGCAATGTATGGCCTTTTTTGAACCTTCTTTCGTTGACCAATAAACAAATTTGATTTCCTCATCTATATGCAAGATGCATTTTGAACTACAAACTCCTTTTCAGTTGCTTTTAACGTATAATTAGAAATTGATTTATAACATTAAAAGATTTCTACAAAACCATAAAATTATAAGTAGATATTTACCTTATTAAACTCTGACAGATAAATTTTACAAAATGTCTGTCAGAGTTTAATAAGGTACAGGTAACCCCCGTATAACACGGTAGTTACGTTCCAAAAAATTGCCGTGTTATGAGAATCAAAGAACTAGTACGAAAAGGAGGGTTATGTTCCAAAAATTAAAAAACATGCTACTATATTTTCATAATTAAGTTAAATATCTTTATTAAAATTTTCTTAAGTGATACATATTAATATAAATTAAACAATGTTTTCTTTGTCATCACTAAAAGCACTATTAACCAAGAGCGTTTTATTTTTGGCAAGTTATCGTTATCCTCTGCATTATTTTCAGATTCATGCTTTACCTTTTTCAAAAAGTGTATGTAATTTTAGATTGCTTGCTTCTAGTTAAAAGATCTCTATAAATTTCCTTATATGGTTCTAAGCACTTATGGAATAAGGGAAAAACATCTGGCAACACCAGAAGTAAAAGCGTCTGGTGTTGCCAGATGTTTTTGCAATTTTGCCACCAGAAGCAAGAGCGTCTGGTGGCAAAATTGAAACAATTTTCGCAAAGGACCATGTGTATGGAGACGAGAAAAGAAAATTTACATACTTAAGTACTTATAGTTTACGAAAATAATAATTTTCGTGAACTATTAAATTTCTACACACTTAAGTATGTAGAAATTTATTACATTTCATGTTGTACAAGGGTTTTACCCATTTCTCGAACCGTGTCAGAGTGAATCCGTGCTATAAAAGTACTGTGTCATACGGGGGATGGTACCAATTCTCGAACCGTGTCAGAGTGAATCCGTGCTATAAAAGTACTGTGTCATACGGGGGATGGTACCAATTCTCGAACCGTGTTAGAGTGAATCCGTGCTATAGAAGTGCTGTGTTATACGGGGTTACCTGTAATTTAAAAAGTCATGCATTGCTCAATCTTCAAATTGAAGAGACATCATAACTTTTAATATCTTTTAAAGTTATTTATTAAGTTATCTAAAGATAGTTTAATATTTAAAAAATTTTCAATTGTTTCCATTTCATTTTATAATATGTAAAAATATTTTAAAAAGTGATTTCTGATAGAAAAAAAGCAGTTTTTAAAAACAGTGGATGTAATGCTCTGACTTCTGTTACAATCTACAGTAAAAGGTATATGGAAATTAGTTCTAGGTAATGTGGAGTGGTTATCATTATTAGAGCAATTTTTTTTATTAAACTTTTTATAAGTTTAAATTTCAAAATATTTTAAATATTCTAAAACATAGATATTTGTATATTTATGCTTTACTTACCTGTAGAAGAAAGCATACTGCTCTTTAGCTTTATTTCTTCCTAAACGTTTGCTCAAAACCATATCATAGACTATTCGTTTTGGTGCTACACTATTAAATGGAAATGTTTATTTAAAGTACAGAATATATACATATAATACATATATCATTAACTTACCTGTTAACTGAATTGAGAAATTCTTTTATAAGATTCTGATTACGGGTTACAATTTCTTGTATTAGGATGACATCATAACGAAGTATAATCTAGAATTTATATAATTTTAGATACAATTAATTTTATGTTTATATAACTGAATTTAAATTATTATTATTTACATTAATATCTATTATGTAAATAATATTTTTTAAAATTCAGTTATATAAATTCTTAATTATATTTACTTACATTTCTAATAATTTCTGCAATTTCTTCATTATTTAGTTTTTTGGCACCTAAATTTTGAACATTAAAAGCACCTATCTTTAATGAAGATGATCTTACATCTTTACTAGAACAATATTTTATTTGATATGTGTATAAAAATACAAGAACAAAAATAAAACTTTTCATGCTTCTTATATTATAAAAAAATTTCAACTGAACTGTTTCTACTGTAATAGGTGCTGATATAGGAATCTTTAAAGGAAGGATGAGTTGCAAGTTATATTTGCATTGTTCCTTCCTGTTTAACAAGTAATTTTTTATTTAAACAGGTAATTTATTATTGTTATCTTACCTATAAGATTATTTCTATTAAATATTTAAAAATTGATTTGTGAATATTTTAATCTCTTTTTAGTAATGTATAATGTTTTAGTCATTTCATAGTTGTAAATATTTGATAAAAATTCAATTTCTTTTTCATAATTTAGTAAAATTCATATTACATATGATATAAAATATGATTTAAAAACAATTATTTATCAATAGCAAAACAACAAAACTATATCATCAATAACAACAAGAACACTAGCAACAATAAATGAATGCCATTTCTTTCACAATCTTCTCAATTTGTCAACTAAATTTTTGAGTATTGATATATTTTCAATAGTGTTTTTTATCTCCCAATCAAATTTTGTCAAACTGAAATTCTGTTTAACAAAATATAGTTTTTCACATTACTTTGTCTTCCAGTTAGCCGAACAAAACAACTTGCTTTTAATTCCTTCGTCAAAGAAAGCAATATATTGTCGACAGCGAAGGGCTCAACCAATAAACAAAGTATGCTTTATGAAGTACTATAAACTAAAAATGATAGTATAAAAAATTACTGAACTGTTGTTTGATTAGTCGTACGAAAGGACTCCTAAGATTGTCACTAAAATGTTGGTCCGGATAATGCTTCACAAGTTATTTGCTCGTGGTAAAAATAATAGAAATATTCATTAATGCAATCCATAAATAAATAATATAAAATAAGATTGTCAGATCTTCATCATTAGTCACTAAACATTGTTCAATAATTTGGAATTTTCCATGTTGTGGAACTAGATGGCATCAAAGTTAATTTTTCACTGCTTTCAAGTGGTCAAACTGAGTAACAATCAAAGTTTCAACATTGAGACTAACAACTGTGAGTTACACCTAGATAATAGAAAACTTTTGTTATTTTCTATATAATCTGTAAAATATTTATACAAATAAATTTAACATAAGTATTTTAAGTTTGTATTATATTAAGCAACTTATTAAAACAAGAATATTTTAAAGTATTGCATAAATGGAACTGTCAAAATAACAAAAACAGACAGTTTTCTGTACAAATTTCTAACTATAGCAATTCAAAATTGCAAATGTTTTGCTTTTCATGATTCATGCTTCGCATAAATAAAAAAAATTGCAGAATATGAAACAAACTATAATAAATTGTCGACTGAGTATAATTAATTTTTGGAAAGAATTCATCATAATTTTTAATTGTTACAATACTGTATTTGCAAGTAGCCTATAGTATTTATTTTAATAGATAAAATAATTGTTTTATAGTTTAAATTATGAATTATTCAATGAAACAGTGGATTTTGAATGGATAATGCAATTATTAATGATCTATACCTCGTTTTATCTAAAATTTATTATTTACGATTATCTTTATCTCAGATTTTTGAAAGTCGAAGGTGGCCGAAACGAAGACGTCGAGAAGACAAACGTGCGGGATAACAAAGAAGGATAAGATAAAGAACGCCTCCGTCGGGGGAAGCTTACACGTCACCGACTTGAAGGTTAAATGGGGAGAAGAGAGGTCGAGACGGTTCGAGTAGGTTTATAAAAGACCGAATAATGCTCCGGTGAAGAGTGACGAGGTTGGAAGACGAAGGCATTAAAGGAAAGGAAAGGAAAAGATGACTTGGATGGAGGTGGCGAAGAAAGACTTGAAAGAGTGTGGAGTGAAAATGGAAGATGCCCAAAACATAATGGAATGGATAAAGATTTAAAGGGCCAACACTAAGAAGCTGGTAAAAAGCATGGAGATGATGATGTTTATCTAAAATTTTAACATAAAATTTTGTTAATTATAGCTATTTATCATATTTATCACATTGACTTTTTGACTGTTGTTTACATATATGTCAGTGAGACTGCCACACGTGGTTGTTATCATCTCATTTTCAGAACTAGAATGTTACTGTGAGATTAGTGCATTTTTAAGTTTCGAAAGCTTCTCCCTCTCCTACAGCACTGAAAAAGCCCTTTTTTCCATGTCCATCGTGGATTTGTTCAGATTCTCAATGGGAATGCTCGATGATAAGTCAGAATTCTATTTACATTAATAAATTAAATGATTAATAATGAATAATGTATCTAATGAAGTACGAAAAAATTACAGTTTACTTTCAAAAATCAGAATAATCCGAAAAAACACACCTTTAGGGAAAACCCACTTATCACGTGGCAATCCACAGCCACTACCCGTCACCCCCTAGCGGACAATTAAATGAGTTAATGTTAACCTAAATGCACCTAATATACACGAGCGAAAAGAGTAATTCAACCCAGCAGAAATTCAACAGTTGAATTTCAAGAGTTATAGAAAATTCGCTAATCTTAGCTTATGAATGGAACCTCGATAACTAAGGGAAGAACAACCGGTGACGTCCGTAACCGTGATTTTTAAACGCGTTTGGTTATTCAGGTCACATTTTGGTAACAACCTGCAGTTACCGGTAACACCGGTTACAATTTCCAAACGCTCCCTACTAAGCAATTCAGTTTCTATAAACAATCTTCTTTCAATCATACCTATCAAGTTCGACCAGGCAATGAAGGATGGCGCCTGAAATATCCGGGCAGACCGCCTAAGCTTTAATTTTTTTAAAAAAATATTCTACACAAACTTCCTGTAGGAATTCCACTAATTTAAAAGAAGGATATCCTTGTTATATTTCCTTGCTGTTTAACATTTAAAGTATTTGGGTTATAATTGTATTGTATTTTTAATTTAGTCACAGCGAAATAATGAAATATACTGATTATAATTGAAAGCAAATTAAACTTTATTAATATCTTAATTAATTAATTACAGGTTTTTCTTTTAAAAGCTTTTCTTCGATGCTTAGTTTACATATTGCTGCAGTAATCACGATATCGTATCTTTTAATTATCATAAATCTTCCTTACTTCTAGACTGGAGAAAAAGGTTGAAAGCATTGCCTAATTAATTACTTTCATGCAGTCGTTAATGATTTTAATCATTTCTTCATCCTGTAAATAATTGGTAATAAAATTTAACTCGTTTCGTACGCTTCGTATTAAATAAAAGAAGAATTACAGTATTTAAAATTGACTTACAGTTAGATCTTTCTTGCTGCTTTCGCAACATTCTTCCATCTGAAAACAAGTAATAAATAAATAAAAATTTTAGGAAATTTCCTTTATAACTAGAAATATCAAATCATTTTTCAAGTTTGTAATGATTTTTTTTTACCTGTTTATGTTTCAGGTCTTCGTCATTGGTGCACATCTTCATAGCTGCTTGGTATGGTGAATCGACACCATAGATCTTCTTGGCGCAGTCAGTCCAAGTTATTACAACCTGTATTAATAAATTACAGAAATGAATTTAACAAACACATAAATCGAATTCGTTCTCCATTAAAAAGTTTATTAATTTTTACCTTTTTTGGTACTTTGGGTTCGAAACATTTCCACAATTTGTCTCTTTTATCATTCGGTAATTCTATTTAAAATATAATTTACGATATTTACATTATCAAAAAATATATGAAATGCTTATATTAAAGATACTTACTACAAAATTCTTCTTCAGTTATATGATGCATATCTCCATCAGCTGAAACAATGGCTACAGTAGCCATGAGAGCGATCAATGCCAAGGAGCAATACATGTTGAATGGTTTTGATTGTTAGCTCGAAATTAAGCTTGCACATTCATTGAAATTCTCAGTATTTATAGTAAATTTTGCAGACAGTTTTCTTGACGTCATTGCCAGTAAAGGGTAACGATACGCTATAAATTAATTTTGAAGTCGTGCGCTAGAACACCTGATTAAATGTTTCCAAAAGAATTACGCTTGAATAAGTTTTATTCACATTTTTTTAATTTGTGTCATTCATTCGTATCCATTGTATTTCACCATTGATAATAATAATAAGCTTGACATTAAATAGATTAGAAATAAAAGTTTTGTTAAATCTTTTGAAAACGAAATTACCTGGCGTGTAAGCTTGAATTACTTGCATTCATTCTCCCTTTAAAAAAAATTCTGTTTTGTATAGAAAGTTAGAGATAAAATTAGGTTATGTAATACAAAAATAGAAACTTTGGCATTTTATTACATATATATTTTGATACATTCTTCATAAATTCAGTTTAAAATATAAATACAGATGTATTCGTTCATTTCTATTTTCTATCTTTGTGATTATATTAAATTATTTTCTACATGTTCTTTATACATAAATTACCCTTAATTCAGACAATTTTATTGATAGCAATTTTAAAACACGTTAAATTTTTAGTGTCCTATGGTCACGTATAGGGCCTTTTTCCCCGTACTCACCACGAGTTCGACCAGGTCTATAATGGAGGCAGCCGAATGATGAGGAAGAGAATATCCACCTGACATATCTAAGACAGACCGCTTATGGGAAATTTTTGGGATTTTTTGATCTCCCTCATTCAGTTTTGGGTTTTCATCTAAGCATCGTTTCGTCAATGTCATAATTCTGGGATTGCTAATAGTTTTATTTAAAATCAATTTAATTACAGTTTAGCAGAATTGCATACAATAAATAACACCCGAAACACGAATTCTGGCTTGTGAACCACAGACAGAAAAAAATGTATTTTGGTTTCAATTAGAACCGAATCTGGGGTCGTATTCTGGTCACTGTCTCTGGTCTCTCGTCTCTCGAAAGCCGGTCGCTGATTGGCTAATTCAAATAATTAGCCAATCAGCGACCGGCTTGTGAGAGACGAGAGACCAGAGACAGTGACCAGAATACGGCCCCTGTATCCTTTGATAGAATTTCATTAAGAGAATGGAGATATCACAGCACCTTACTAATTGCAATTACTCACTTATTGTCATTGAAGATGAGTTCATATGCTATTCTGAACAAAGTTCTGTTTGGGCCTTACTTTCTTTGGGTTTAGAAAAAAAAACTCTTTCAGTTCCCAAGGGAAATAAAAAGTAAACATAAGGTGTATAATAATTTACATTATGATTAGATATTTATACAGTATAAAAAGTCAAACATTCTTGAAGACGATATTACTTTATTTCTATTTGATTTCTTAGTTTTCAACAGTTATTTATCATACAAAGAATTTGTTAAGAGTATTATTTGCACACGTAATCTTAATTAATCAAACATTTACAATACAATATTAAATTTAAAGTAAAACCTATACTTTAAACAAATAGAAAATTCATCCCTGCTCTATAATTGCAATAGATATAGAAATAAAAATGCAATTTTTTTTATTAAAATATATTGAATTTTAACTATTAAATTTATAATTTATTACGTGTTATAGCAATAATTGAAAACGTTAACTGATCGTAACATTAATTATTACTCATTCACCGTTAAACTATTATTGTTCGTTTAATGACTAAACAATGTTACGTATAAGACAATAATTACGTGTTCTAAAATATGATTCAACATCTAAAAATACATTAAATATTTATATAATTAATGCTACGACACACTCCAATGCCGTTAGAAGTTATACCAAAAGTGTATATATATTATATTAGGGAGATCCAAGTGTTAATTTCAAAGTCTTATATTGTGGTGCTTCTTAATGGCTGCATATTGCAGAAAACACGCGTGTCTTTTTTCTTATCAAAGAAAATTGATTATTGTTAATAAAATTAAATATTTAGAAGTTTTTTTTATGCTTTAGAAACAATAGTTATAGCTGTGTGAACAATTTTAATTTATTTATTGTGTCAACTTATAATAATGAATAGTGTAAAGCTGATTAAATAAATTTTAAAAGAATTGATTCGTTTGAATAAAATAAAACCAAGGTGTACTTTAGGCAATTAAATGTATTATAATTATTTGAATAATTTAATAATACCAATTAAAATTTTAATTTATTTAACTAAATTTCTAAATTAATGGTATAATAATATAATTAATATAAATTGAAGAGTTATAGGGATTGCACAACTATAAATGATGGCATATGCTTGGAAAAAATATGTAAAAAAAGAGAAAGAAAATTCGTTTTTATAATTTCATTATATAAATTTTAATTATAATTAATTGTAGTGTTTATTGTAAACATAATAAAAGTATCATTAAATGTTACTTTAATGATATTTTATTCAGGGGGTTTTTCTGTGTGTATAGATGCCAGTGTGTGTGTGTGTGTGGAAGGCCCGATTTTGTTCACCCCCTTTGAAGTTTAATAACTCCTGTGTTTTTTGTCAAAAACTTTTGAAATTTTGCAGGGAGTTTTATATATTAGGGGATAAATGCTATTCAAAGCTTTTGACCCGAAAGGTGTTAGAAAAATGACCGACACGACTCTATTGTTAAAGGGAAAATATGATGTACAGTATAGGGGCAAGGCATTACTAATTTGAGGTGGAGAGAATATATTTTAAATTAAATAAATTAAAAATATTAAAAATTGCAGCCCGGCATTGTGACTATATCATAATAAAATATACCGATTTTATAATAATTAAAAATATAAAAAGATTTTAATAATAGACAATCAAAGCTTTCTGGAGAGCGAATGATAAAAATAGTTGATGATAAAATTATTATTGATGGAACGAAGTACTTTTACGATGTTGACTGTCACCAGGTTAAGCCTGTTTCGTCCTAGCAATTGTCGAATAGGGGTGGTACTTTTTTAATTTGGAATTGTGCTGGTTTATTTAATAAACCTGAGTTTTTTTGGAAGTATTTATTGCGGAATGATATTACTTTTCTTTCTGAGACTTGGTATGGTTGTACTAATAGAAATTCGGACTTAGCTGATAGTTTGCAAGGTTATAATCTCCATTTTGGAAAAGCCTTTAAGTTACACGCGAAAGGTCGTTATTGTGCAGGATGGTTATTAGCAATAAGATCCTCTTTTCCTTGTGTGGTTGTTTATCAAGACGACTTTTTAATACTTGTTAAATTTGGTGCCGAACTTGGTAATATTTTGGCATGTTTTGTTTATTTTAGGGAAAATGACTGGCAGTTTATTTTCGATACGTTAACTGGATTGATATTAGATAATAATAGGAATGTATTGATTGCCGGTGATTTTAATTTTAGGATTGGATTGGAGAATACAGTAGACTTCCCTATAACACTGTTGATAATTCCGTATTATACGAATTCCATGTTGTACGAGTCACTTAGATTTTACAAATACGTGTGCCGGGCTGTGAACGGCTCACGTACAGTATTTGTAAAATCTAAGTGACTCGTACAACACGGAATTCGTATAATACGGAAGTATCAACAATGTTATAGGGGGATTTACTGTATAATTTCTGATGCATTTTGCAATTATTTTGGAATTGTTTGTCTTATGTATAGGAATTCGAAAGACTTGGTGATTGATTCTTGTGGTAGGAAGTTGCTTCATTTATGTATAGATTTAAATATGATTATTGTTAATGGAAGACGTTTAGGTGATGAAGTGGGTGAATATTCTTTTATCTTTAATTGTAGTTGTTCTGTTATTGATTTGGTCATAGTTTCTCCGTTAATTTGGAAAGATGTGCTCTCTGTTACGATGGACCAGTTTTTGGATTCCGATCCTTTGATTTTATGATTGGTCCGTGGCAATGATACATCGGTTTCTTTATAGAAGAGGCAGAGGATTAATAGATTGTTTTGGAACGAATCTAGAAAAGATGAATTAAGGTTGGTTATGGAAGAAATATGTGTGTCGAATAAGTTTAATTCGATGGAAGACCCGAGTAATTGTCTTTTTAGCTTGGTTTGTAAGTGGGGATTTAATATCAGGAGATATAAGAATTCTTTTTCGTGGTCTGATTCTGACTGTAGGATGTTAATTAACGCTAGGAATAGAGCCTGGAGGTCATTTAGGAAGATCAATGATTCTAATAATCGTATGCGTTTTATTATGTTGCGAAGTTTGATGAAGCGGTTTTGCATCGCGAAAAAAAATTATTTGCTGGTAAAATTCAGAATTGTTTTAGGAAAGATAATAGACCTTTTTGGAATTATTTCCGACATGTTAAGCAGGCTGACTTGTAATTTTGGCTCTATTCCTATTGATGATTGGTTTCATCACTTTTTTAATTTATTTGGTTCCTTGGACCCTTATTTTGCGAATATTTAGATTTTTAATTATTGTAGGAATTGGTATGATAAACTTTTGGACCATGAATTTTCTATAAGTGAGCTTGATGAAGCTTTGAGAAGATATAAATCAAATAAAGCCCCAGGTTTTGACGGGATCCCAATGGAATTCTGGAATTTTGAGACGTTGAGACCCCACCACATCTTTTGACTTTTTCCTCAAAGATTTTTGATACTGGGATAATACCGGAGTCTTGGAAGACGAGTATTTTAATTCCGATTTAATGGTAGGAAGGATGCTCCTGGTAATTATAGAGGTATCTGGTTATCATCTTGTGTTTCGAAATTGTTTTGTATTATTTTGTATAGAAGACTGACTCGATGGTTAGACGTTAAAAATATATTACATGAAAATCAGGCAGGATTCCGGGCTAGTTATTCCACATTGGATAATATTTTTGTTTTGTATACGGTTATTCAGAAAACCTTTTTTACGGAAACGTAAGAAGGTGTATGCATTTTTTGTTGATTTATCTTCAGAGTTTGTAGGAATTTGTTGTGGTTAAAGATGTTGCGTTATGGTTTCAGTTATAAATTTGTATCTTTACTCGTTGCTTTGTATGAAAACTCCTCGCTTAT